GTGCGTGTGCGTGCATGCCCAAGATCCCGAGAGGAGAATGGAGGAGAAGGGATTGCAGCATGGCCATCCCCTCTGGGGGTGATTTCTCTCACTTTTCATCTCTCTGTCTCTCCGGTGAGTGCATGAACCCTATAGCAAAAATCTTTCCAAGAAAACCCAGTATCTCATTCATATCTTCCTTTATTCTTTCATTTCTTCATTCACTAATTCCTTTGGCAGGTGTGCATTGAGAATTGACCTCATGCCAGGCATTGCAGCTAAGGAAGGTCACAGAGAGGGGTTGTCAGTGACTATGAACCTACATAAATGGAGACCCACTCGGAGAGGCGGGCTGCTCATGCTCCTGTTACATAGATAAGAACACTGAGGCAGGAGACCAGCAGGTGGTGTGGTGGTTAAGGCGCTGGACACTCCCACATGGTCGACCATGGTTCAAGTCCCGGACCTGGTGGCTTGCTTTCTCACTTTCCCTCTTTCTCTCTCTCTGGCTGATCGGATTGGAAAATAATAATACTAAATAACATAATCCTTTTAAAAAAAAGAAAACGGAGGCTCTTGGTGAGGAAGACAGTGGCCTGGGGTCATATGACGAAACCCCCAAAACTGTGCCCTTGGGGGAACCAGCAGTTAGCGTAATAGCTATGTCGCTGGACTCCCACGTAGTCGACCACGGTTCCCGTCCTGGACCCGGTGGCTTAAAACTCACGCCGGATGCGTGTGCGTGCGTGCCCAAGATCCCGAGAGGAGAATGGAGGAGAAGGGATTGCAGCGTGGCCATCCCCCCTGGGGGGGTGATTTCTCGCTTTCTGTCTCTCTGTCTCTCTCTGTCTGGCGAGCGCACGCGCCCTATAGTGAAAAACCTCTAAAAACAAACAAACAAACAAAAAAACACAAAACTGTGCCCTTGGGTCCGGTCTCCTAGCTCCGTTCCCTCCTCTGTAATGGGCCTGGATCCAACAGTCCTTTGACGCGCTGCCCCGAGTCCTTCTCTGCAGCCTTTGCCGCCCCCTGCTGGCCGTCTACGGCCTGCACGCGCCATCCCACGGGCCTCCTGCCGGGCCAGAGGCTCCCGCCCCCCGCACCCAGCAGGGCGGGCTCCTTCCTCTCCCGGGGCTGCGACACCGCGCCCGCCCAATGGGCATCCGTGGTAGGTTGACATGAAGCCCTGCCCACGCCAGGAGGATGGGCAAAGGATCCTGGAGTCCTCCATCTTTGTTTTCTTTTTTTAAAAGAATTATTGGGAAATGGGACCAGCAGTTAGCGTAACGGCTGTGTCGCTGGACTCCCTCGTAGTAGACCGTGGTTCGCGTCCCGGATCCGGTGGCTTAAAACTCACGCCGGGCGCGTGTGCGTGCGTGCCCAAGATCCCGAGAGGAGAACGGAGGAGAAGGGATTGTGGCGTGACCATCCCCTCTGGGGGGTGATTTCTCGCTTTCTGTCTCTCTGTCTGTCTCTGTCTGTCTGGTGAGCGCACGTGCCCTATAGCAAAAACAAACAACAAAAACCTCTCCAGAAAGAAAGGGAAAGCAAGCCTCCAGGTCTGGGACTTGAACCATGGTCGTCCATGTGGGAGTCCAGTGCCCTTAACTAACATGTCACCTGCTGGCCCCCTAAAAAAAACAATTCTTCTATATAAAAAAAAAAAAAATCTCAGGAGGTGACAGTGAGAGATACCCACACCCTGGAGGGAAGGTGCCTCTACATGGGGCCTCTGGGAGGGGGCACCTGAGGTGGGCAGAGACCTGCAGACAGAGAACGACTGAGCAGGGCTGCCGGGGGTGCGGTGGTTAGGCTGGCTGGATCCCTCATGGCTGACTTAGCAGTTCGAGTTCTGGACTCAGCAGCTTGGAGAACGTGCCGCCGGGTGAGTGTGCACACATGCGGAGAAATGGAGGAGACAGGATTGTGGCGTGGCCATCCCCTCGGAGGGTGTTTTTTCGATTTCTCTCTCTCGTTTTCTCTCCCCAGTGCAAGAACCCTAGAGCAAAAATTAAAAAGAGAGAGAGAGAGGATGACCGGGTTGGAGGATGGGCAGAGGAAATGAGGTTGGGAGGAACCAGTCTGAGATCCAGCCAGGTGATCCAGGCGGTTGGACCACCTCAGCCAGGCAGGGGTGAGGGGAGATGGGAGGAAGGTGACCGGTTGTCTCTGGGGGCTCTCAGAAGGTTGTGGATTTTTTTTTTTTTCTGGAGAGGTTTTCACTATAGGGCCCGTGTGCTCGCCAGACAGAGAGAGACAGAGAGACAGAAAAGCGAGAAATCACCCCCCCAGGGGGGATGGTCATGCCTCAGTCCCTTCTCCTCCATTCTCCTCTCGGGATCTTGGGCACACATGCACACGCGCCCGGCGTGAGTTT